AGAATCAGTTGGGATGACCCTTGAATTCCATAATTGCTGAACACCCGCTATGTTACGTAGCATAATTCTTTAATCAATGGTGACATATCGATTAACGTTGCTCGTCGTCTACTATTATGTTATGCTAGTGACTTCTTATTGATGGTGGTTAAAATTAAAATACATTACAACTGAATGCTCAGTGCTTACTAATTAATAGGGGTTAAATCTAACTCATGTTGTACTAGTTATAGTTGGTTCACTAGTTGCTTAAAATATTCTAAATTTTGGAAAATGTTGGTTAATAGCAAAACAAAATTATATGAAAGTATGGTCCTTTATGTTTCCTACCCAAGTGAGATCCAACAGAGTTGGTACCAAGACCAACCCAAAAGGTAGAGATTGAAATAAGTAGCTTATGTTCGACAAAATTTTTAAGTGCTTATAAGTAGCACCTTTTTTTGATCATTTGCTTAGACATCAGGGGTCAAACTTAGAGCACGTATGGGACTATTTAAATTATAAATTAAGTCAACTAAAAATACTTTCTCATCAACAATTTGTAAGATCCACTACTTATTATTTATACATTTTGTAGAACCCACAATTATAATTATTTGAAAACACCAAGCGCATGTTTGAAGTTGTTTATATTCGATTTAAATTATAAATAGATAGAAATGAGTGATGAATATGTAGTATTATTTGTGAATCTCACAAAATATATGGATAATAAGTGTTTTGAGTGAATATAAAAAGATTTATGGTCACAAACATGCAATTAGTTTTCAGAAAATTATTACTCAAACATTTGCCGTGTTTGACAACCATTATTTGAAAACTATTTTTTTTACATACCCATTTCCAATCATATATTATAAAATAAAATATTCTGTATGTAAATTAATTTTTTTTTTTTTTAATCGCACATCCTCCTAAAATTCATTATTCAAAACATTATTTTTCTTAAATGAACTCCATCAAACTTAGGTAGTATGAGATGCAATTGTATAAGATTTGACATAGGCAAGTCTTCATTAAGGGTATGTTTGATGTACATTTTTAATAATAAATTTTGTAAAAGTGATTATTTTTGTAGAAGGTGTGGTTAAAAGGTAGAAACAATTATGAGTTCAATTGCAAATTCTTTTATTAAAAAAAAGGTGATTGAAAATAAATTTGGAAAAGAAAGAATTTTAAAAAATTTACACCAAACAAGGGCTAAGTTTTACTCGGCACAACTATTTGTTACATCTTTTCATGTTAATATTACAAATGCTAAAGTTTATCATTTCTTAAAACTATGATAAGAAAAATTAAAATTAATGTTATGAATATAACTTTAATTTGTGGTGGTTGAACCACAGAAGCCAATCAATCTTGTTACACATACATTTTAGTAAATGTTTTGCTTTACATTGTACTATGTGATACACAATTTTATCATTAATTTCTCCAATATTTAAAATAATCAATGATTTCAATTTTGCTGCCTATTTAAATGTCATCCAAATTGTACATAAATAAAGTATAAGTAGCATAATACAAAGTCAATTCTAGTGAAAAGGAATGCAAACCAATATTATTTAATAAAGATATGAAAGGCCCCTTAGCAAGCATGAAAAGTTAAAAGATTAGGTTTTAATATAGTCATAGATTTTATTTGAATGTTATTTTTATTAAAATATTGACCTCTTATCGTGGCTCCAACCAGGCAATTAGAGCAATATAATTTATTATTTTGTTTTTGAGGTTGCTTTTCAAAAATTCTGACTGGATTAAAAAGTATAGAATTGTCTGTCAATTGATCATTCCAACATTTGTTTATTTGTTGAATTAATTGTTCCAATGGTCACTGAACTTAGATTCATATTTTTGATTGGTCACTGAAATTTAAAATGTCGAATTTAGGCTAAATGAACTTTGTAAAATACTATACGTTACTCACTAACATAAATAAAAAATATCCACTTTTTAGTGAGTAGTGTACAACATTTTTCAAAATTCAGCGGCCAAAATTTGACATTTTAAATTTCAGTGAGCAATCGAAGATATGAATCTAAGTTCAGTAACCAAAATTCGATATTTTAAATTTTAGTGATCAATTAAAGATATGAACTTAAATTCATTGACAATTAAAACAATTAAGGCCCCGTTTGGTACCCATTTTTGTAAGAATGAGAATGAAAAATAAAATCGTTTCGGGACCCACACAAAAGATAGAAAGTCAAATATAATGTCTTGATGTGATGTATAATGATCATATTTTTCATTTTTGTGGCCAAAGAATGAAAATCAAACGAGAGTTAAATCCTATTTGTTTCATTCATAGTAATAAAATTCAGATTCGACCAGTTGATTCAAGTATAAAATATATGATTAACTATTATGATCAACTATAAATTACTTAAGATTTAGGGCTTGTTTGGTGGGGGGTTTAAAAGTTAATTAAAATCAATTTTTTGACCTTTATTTCATTACTTCATTAGTTATTTTTGAATTTTTCTTTTACAGGTAGGACCCATTTTCTTTCTAACGATCAAAAAATCAATTAACAAAATTCCTATCAAATAAGTACTTAATCTCAAAATGATACAGTCCGAGAAACCACCAACCCACCAATCAAATTAGTGATCCGATATCTTGATAATTCAACCAAGTCAATTAGTAAGTTGAGTCTAAAACCTATACTTTTATATATATTAATAATTGAGCATTTGAGAGCGCAAATAATCTTTGCTTTCTTCTTCTATACAAAAAAATAATTATCTTCTCAATTATATGGTGATGTCACGATTGCAAGTGAAAGTCAAATATGCATTATTTCATACCTTTTGCACTTGTATATTGTCATAAAATAGCGAGGAAAGCCTTGAAAATGTATCAACTCTCAAGCTTGACACAAGGTTTTCGGAAAGATTGTTCAATAGGAAACTATACTAAAGAAAAAAAAATTAAAATTTTGTGCATTTCTTATAATAAAAACAAATTGCATTAATAAAATCGCTCAATACAAAAGAATCAATAAAGTAGGCATACAATCGGTTCAAAATAAAAAATATCATGCACATAAGTGTAAGAAGTTAACTCATTGGCTACCATATTCTCCTTACAGAAAACAAATAAATGATAGTTATTCTAACGTTCCTAAGAAGCTACGAATATCATGAAGAAGCACCTTCCCCCCGCCCCCAACCCACAAAAAAGGGTACAAACTGAAAGTTCGTTCCATCACAAAAGAATGACACTCGATAGATTGTATGAACAAATCATTCTTTTGTGCGAACAGCAGATCCAACCGAAGGGCTAGACATTTAGAATCTTACATAGTGAAGGAACCTACCACTTGCCTAGTCATCGTTTCCACCACTGGCTCCTCATGATCCATTATAATTGGCCCAACCCTTGCATTAGTATTAAATCATTGTTTGGGCCCCATTAAAATGAGATTTCAGAGGAAAATTTATATTGAAATAGTGATTCTTTGGATAATGTATGGCTAAAAAATAAGAAAAAGATTTAGGTTTTATGTGTAACATTATTTTATGAAGGAATGAGTAATTGAAAATGAGTTTTGAAAAAAATGTATTTTTGGAAAAAAGGAGCCTAAACATGGTCTAAGCTTCAACTTCAATCAGATTATTTTGAAAATTTTATTGAAAAATAGCGTTTGCGGTTAATAGACTTTAAGCAAAATCTCATTTGTCTCTTAACTTTTATCTATCATTGAATTTCGATTTATTTTAAATTGAGTCATTAAACTTCAGTTTAATTTCAAATTAGGTCATTGAACTTTAATTTAATTTTAAATTTTATCATTTCGCCACTAAAATTGATTAATTGGACGTCACACCATGATGAATTTTACACAAAATCGCTACATTGCATACCCAACTTACCATTATATAATGTCATAAAAGTGTTAAATAAAAAATTTATTTTTTAATATTTTAATCTAAAGATATTGTCTAATCTTCCCATTTTAGTTTCTATAGTGTCACGTAACGATTACGTGGAAGAGTAGGTATGGTATGACTGTTAAGTAAACAAATTCTTGTTAGTTTGGGAGATGACAAGTGACAAGATGTGATCGAGTGATAATTGAAACTAAATTAAAGTTTAGAGACCATACTGAAACAAATGAAAATTTAGTGACTTGATTAAAATTTTGCTAAAAGTCGAATAACCATGGAAAAAATTTACCCACCAATAATTGATAATTGTGTGACACAATTACTAGGATAGCGTGCATATTGCCGAAGTTCATAATTCATCTTAAAAAGAAGTATAACCTAAAGCAGCAATAGAGACCGTCTACTTTCGATAATGACTGATGGATAATTTTAAACTTACCATAAAGATGCTTTGAAGAAGCTGATAATGGAGCTTCAACAGCAACATCAAATTTTGTCACAAATATTTTATTGAAATATTTTCTCTTTTAAAATAATGGCATGTATAAATCGATCTACATGGACTGGGGTACCTCTATAAAAAAAACCCGATCGAATCACATCCAGACTGTGCTTGCAACCACATATATATTCTTGTTGAAAAGAAAGTGTTGAAATCGCTGATACGTTCTATAAACTTTCGTGTTAATTAGTGGCCATGTATTAATATATTACATATTGATCCATCAAATGATTAATCAATAGAAAATTATGCCATACACGACTTATATTTCTTGTTGAAGATAAGCTAAAATGGAGCCCACTAAACATATTTACTAACCTAGATAATGCAAGATGATTAGACATTCACCCTTGTTTCAACTGAATTAATTTATATTTCAACGTGAAGACAAAACCTATGACCAAATCAACCATACAAGTTAAAGTAAATTCCTTCATGGGCCCCAATCTTTTATAAATATAGCAGCCATATCCTCAACCTTTCATTTATAGTACCCATATCCCCGATTCTTTTAAGATTTTGAACATGTTGCCTGAATAGAAAATGTCAATTTAGCTATTAAATGGCTATATCATACGTATATGATGTATAATTGAAAGTGTAAAAATTATCCAAAAAAGAACACAGATAACAATTGTCCAAGGCCTAGCTCATTATCGGGTTATTGACCTTGGTTGAGTCTCGTTAGAAGAAAGGTAAGTGTGAAACCACAAATAAAAAAAACAAAAAAAAACAAAATAAATAAAATTCAAGACCAATTCTTGAAATGCCTTTCTGAATATTCCTCAATGTCCTGACTATTCATGGAACGTGAGAAGCAGATGGACCCCTTCCTAGGTCAACCCACTCAAATATCCGAGAGCGGGTCGGCTTTTGGCGACCACAGAGAAGCCAGATAACGCAGTGGATGACATGTACTTGGAAATAATCGGATCATAGGAAAGTTTTTTCAACTATTTGGTTTGTAGAATAAATGAATTCTTTTCGAACAATTTTTCCCTTTCAGTAAGACATCATGTATGAGTCGCATGGATAGTAAGTTTTAGTGGACATGTTCAAACAAGTAAAGATTACCACGTGCTCAATGTTAAAAGGTAGAGGACATGACTGCCACACTTATAAAAGGTTGGGGACTCCTAGAGGAATTTACCCAAGGTTTTATATGTAATATTTCTAGTCCAGCTATATCATTCTCCATTAAGTTAAAGCTCCACAGCATAGAAAAAACCATCTTCATACTATTCCTTCCAATTCAACACTCTATTAATGGCTACAAGACACCCTTTTTCAGGTTCTCTTGTAATTCAAGAACCTGCTTCAAACCGAAGGCCTGGAAATAGACTACTAATGTGTGCCAACAATCAAATCCGAATCAATAGTAAACTTCTTCAGATCAGATCATCAATCAGGAACAAGGTTGGTTAGTTTTTCTTTTATCCGTTTTAAATGGTTTTGGCTAAGTTTCAAGCATATACACGGTGTTAATGGTGATTAGAGATGATTTCTGATAGGTTTTCGAAGATCTGTCCTCCGGTATTGTTTGTTATAAGGATGATAACGGAGAGATAACATGTGAAGGATACGATGAGGGTCCTCGTTATCTCCAGAAATCGACGAAAATCACTTGTGATTCAAGGTAAAAGACTATAATTTAGAACATATTCATATGCCAAGAGTTGTCAATTGGGCTTGTTTCCTCATAAACTAAGTCTAATTGCATTACCTAATGGACAAGGAATTAGTTTAATCATATGAGATAATGAGTCTACGAGGAAAACATCAGTCTCAATGACTAGTAAAAACCTGATTGATAGCCCTGCATAAGCTCGACTCACATGGCCTGATTTACAGCTCTATTGTGTAATACACTATCAATAAATAGAATTCGAACCCTGCTACATGTACAGAAATGGTTGACAATTTTTAACAGACGGCAAGATTTAATTGGATGTTGAACAAAAAACACAGTTCAACCAACTAATGCAGTGTTGCCACTGTAAATCTGTAAAAATCCCGATATATTTCACCTGCACAAGAACCTTAATTCATAGAATTCTGTCGTTTTCCACTGCAGAGATGTCGAGATCGTTGACCTGTTTCACAGATGTTGGCTTCAAGCGGCTGATGATAATGAGCCTAAAACTGCAGACAAAGGGGTTTCAGAGCACAAGGGCTTAAACTGTAATGGTTTCAACACATTGTGCTAATTGTTTATAGGAATTATTGACTTCAGTTAATAACATGTACAGATCTTTTGAATGTATCATATAAGAATACTTTCTCAAATCCATTCAGAGTGAATAAGAGTTTCAATTAGGATCTCATTTGGGGAAGTAACAGTTCCATCAAGTTATGAATGACTTTCTAGTTATGAACATGTAAATAAAGGGATTCAAGCTTTGCTATAAGTCATCTTTAATCAAATTGACCTAATTTTCAAGACATTGATACGAATGCAGAAACAAACATGCCAAAAAGGCAATTTCACGGTTGATAAGTTATCTGAACACTATAACTTGTAACTCAACAGTAAAATTCAAAATTTTAACTTTTGAATTACTAACTTGTGTAATTATTCGGATTCAAAGTTGTATCAAACCATATGAATCGGAAAACTGGAAATATGGAAACAAAATACTGTAAAGCCTATATTTCAAGTATATCTTAACTAAGCAGTACTTTTTTTAAAGATTTTTATCCATAGTTTTGAAGATTCAACGGAGAATTTCAACACCAAATCGACCACAGTACATATAAATGTGCATTTCAACATCAATGATGTGTCTACAATGATTACGAGTCAGTTTTGCCTAAATCTTATACACCAAACACCCTTTAACACTTCTGCCCAAAAAAAAAAAAAAAAAAAAAACATTAGGAGGACCATCATGTTAAGTTTTGAAGCCTAATTATTGTCACTTTGAAGAGCTGATCGCGGATCAACCTCCACGATGAGGTCTCCGTGGAGGTTGGAAGGTAGGCAGGATACCCCTCTCTACCAACCAAAATTTAATTTAAGATCTATTTGGAAATTTGATTTCTTGTAAAATTCTATTAAAGAATTTGACTCCTTGTATAATTAAGTTTTGCCCTAACTTATCTTATAAATAGGGAGCTGTCCTTAGATTTTAATATTATCATAAAAAAGAGAGAAAGAGAGACTACAGAAGATAGAAATGCGATTTTCTCTTGGATATGACGTAATTTCACATTAAAACGAACCTCTATAAATCTTTCATGTTCTTGAGTGTTTATTTTTCTTTCTTCAAACTGATTGTTCTCGGTGAAATAGAATTAGGGTATATAATTCTCAACACACCACTTAAAATCACAAAGTAAACAAGGAACTCATTCATAAAGAGCAAAGAAAAATCACCACGAAAGAGAAAATCAAATCAATGGGTAGTTTGTAGCAAGAAGAAAGTAGGGAAGAAATCTCCAAGGCTTAGAGAGAGTTAGGCAGCGTATGTGAAAGCGAGAGTAACGAGAGATATGAATGAAACTAGCTTTTCACATTTATGTGTATAGGACAAATCTCAACAGTCCAATTTCATCACGATGCTCTCACTTAAGCAACTTGTCATGAGCAAACCTTAAATAAAAGTGTTAAAGCCTCAAACGATACTTTATATTTCACGAATCGGGTCAAAAGGTGTTTCAGGTGTTTCAATATGCGATGTTTGGGTCTATTATTTTCTTAAGGTGATGAAGATTATTCAATTCATCATTGTCTCAAGGTTGTTTGGAAACACGTTGATGCTAAATACCCTTTGTATAGAATTATCCCTCCTCTTTGACATCTAATTCTTACTTAGAAGCAAGAATAAACAATTCAATATCTAACCAATAAAATTGGAGCATACCGATATTGTGAAAGAACTTTCTTAAGTTTTACCAATGTTCAAAAGACTTAGACACCTTTTAAACTCTATCAAGGACAATACCTTGGTGCCTATATCTGAGGAATTACATTGTGAAAGAACTTTCTTAAGTTTTACTACACATTGTGACTCTTAAGTTTTACTACACATTGTGTCGCCATATCCCTAATGAGATGTGATATGATGTCTTATGTGTTTAGTACACTTGTGAAACACATGATTCTTACATAATTGTATTACGGATTGACTATTTGCATACATGACCACCTCATCATTTAAATTACACAGTTCTTCAAGCAAACTTTTAAGTTACAACGACTCTTTACGCTAATTAGGATCATATCATCAATATACAATACTAAAAATGTACAGTCATTATTAACTTCATTATGTTGATAATACAAGCTACGGTCGAACTTACTTATTTTGAAATCAATTGTAAGCACAAATAAATCAAATCTTTTACAGCACACTCCAGGAGATTGATTTAAACCATACAATGTCTTTTTAAGAAAAAATACATTTCAATTTTTATTTATGGCTTATTAGTACAAAACGTCCATACATTTGGTCTTTAGTGTGCAAAACATCTATACGTTTCAAGTTTTTGCATTTTTACCCCTATTTCCACGTTTCATTGTAGAAAACATCATTTTCATCGATTTTTTTTTTTCAATTTTCAACTAAATTTGTAAAATGATAAATATACCCTCCTATTTAAATAAAACAGGAAGTAAAGGAAAAAAAAAAATAAAGAGTATGATATTGGGTAATGGCCTAGTTGCTACACATGGTTTGCGGGGAGACCTGGAAAATTACAACTCATACAGGGTTTTAAAAGCTTGATTATAAGTTGTAAAAGGTTGGTTATGGTCTTTGGGGGTCGTTGTAGAATTTGAGGTTTAGTTCATACGTAGAAATTTTTGACATAGTTTAGTGTGTTTCTTTAAGGTGCAAAACGAACCTCATTTAGTTTGAGTGAGGAAAAGCAAAGAAGGTATTCATATAGTCAAAGTTCTTCCAAAAAATACATGTTTCGCCCTAGGTGTATTTATAGGGCATTGGTGCCACGTAACTGTTGGGAATTTATGGTGCTACGTGGGACACGTGGCCTCTTCTACTATCCCCATGTTCTGAGTGGGGGAGCCTTCAACTATTCGACAGTTGGTTGTACTCATGAAAGCCGTTATGAAATTCCTATCCAATTCATTGATGATCTTATGCCAAGTGTTGGTTTAGCTGCGTAGTGGTAGATGATCTCATGGGGGTCAACAACCCAGAATAGGCATGGAGTGCTCATAGGGGTTGATGGCTCAGCATAGGTGTAGAGTGCTCATGGGGGTCGACGGTTCGGTGTAGACGTAGAATGCTCATGGGGGTCAACGACCCGTGTATAGACCTAGAATGCTCATGGGGTCAAGGCCCAACATAGATATAGAGTACCTTGCTTTGTTGGTCATTATAGGCGATTTTGAATTCCATCCAATATCGCTAGCCTCTCTATCTCTTTTCGATGTTCATTGGCAAGGGGTAGAATTTCGTTCTTCTCGCAAAAATTTATTTATTTAGTATCATTTTTTTAAATCTCTTATAAATAATTGGTCCATATAAGTGAATCAAGCAGTTAAAGTAGAGTTTAGGTTGCCACAATACTGTATACATGGCACCCCATAAGTGGGTTTGATTTCTTTGAATTCACTTTTTCTTCTTTCAAATTTCCTTGCTCCTCCCATAATTAAGGTAACTCCTCCTGACTTCTTCCTTTGTTCTAGTCTTTTATTTTGAACTTGTTTCTCTTCTTCTTCTGTATTTTTTATTTTATTTTTTTATTTTTTTACTCCAAGATGAAGGGTGGAGCGCGTTGATCGAGCTATCCTCAGGGGGCTAGCTAGTTGGCCAGCAAGGCCAGTCCACCATCGACCAGCCTCTCAGCTGGCCACGTCGACAATTTCCCCCACGAGTTTTTTTAGATCCCCTATGATTCTGATAGCCCGACTCTTTTGGTTGAACCTCAAATGTTCATTCCAAGTTCTCCTAAAAGACATATTAGCTCAACCAAATCCCTGGACTGAAATTTAGAAATTGGACGGGATATGGCGAGCGAGATTGTTGACCTTTGATCCCAAAATGTTATAATCTCTACAATTTCCCATTTAAATTGGAGAAGTCATTTGCGGATTTGATTAAGTCGATGATTACATCTATAAAGTCCCCAGTCCTAAAGAAAGAGTTTCCAGGTCTGACCCTTGCGAGATAGCTGTGTATATGGACATTATGGATGGCGATTTTCGGTTCCTCATCCAATGAATTACATATCGCTCCTAGCTAAATAAATCTCAACACATGGAGAAAGGCGTTATACTTCTTGTTTGTTTGCCTTAGAAGAAAATTCCACTTTCTATAGACCTCTTTAGGTGCGTCTTTGAAATACATGAATCTGCTCAATATATTGCGTTTATCTTCTTTACCACTAGGGTCCTCTTGCACTTTCCCAAATTTAGGAATTCAAACAGTAGGTAGACAATTTGATTCTTCTTTGTTCGATCATCGATGGATCAATTTTCTTTCAATACCAATTGGCGGTATCCTTAAATTCGCCTTTTCAATAGTCAAGTAAAAGTTACCTCTCTTTTAAGAGGTCAAATCAAACAAGTGGCCGATACACCACATCTTGCACTAGATTTAGGATCTGTTTTGACCATAAGGAACATATTAATAGGGAGGGATTGGTCGACCTACTGGTAGGTTCTCTTTGCGAGCATTTGCATATATTTTACTTGTTATTCTTTGGGACTAACAAGCTTGATATTGTGCATACAGATATGGACTTTGATCTTGATAAGGTGATGAAGACCCTGACAGCGTCGGGGAGCGACGAGGGTTTCGTTCCAGTTGATGGTAGGCTTTTGAGCACTTTGTTTTTCATTTCGGATTTGTACGCTCCTTTGCTTATTATTCTTTGGACTTGATGGATCTTATCTTGCGTGTGCAAGTATGAAATTTATTTTGAAAGAAACCATGGGCTCTATGCCGGAGCAAGGGCATAAGAGCGATGCGGAACTATTTCCTATTCTCTTAAAGAGAGAAAAGATAGTTGATCTTAGGAGAAGGTCTCATGTAGCAAAAGAGACCCCTCAAAGAAGGTAATTCGAGTCGCACCAGGTTTGAGTGCGAGAGTTTTCTTCCAAACTTCGAATTTTTTCCCATCCGGGCAATCATGAGATAGAGATACTTCGGCTTTGGAAACCTTGCTCAGGCTAGGGCAATCGTGGGCGTAGCGCCAACGATATTGATAAAGCCTTGGCTGTCTATACTTAGCAGGTAAACTTCTAATCACACATATCTTTTTTATGTTGAACTTTATCCTTTCGAACATGGCTAATACTTGTCTACTGTTTTGTCTCTTCACCTATTAGGTAGTGGCCCTTCTGACTGGGCTTATT